CCCGGGACTCGTCCCCCTCCCCCCCCCCACCCCAGAGCGCGCAGCCCGCAGAGCCCCCACCGCTGGCTGCACTGTGCGCTGCCACATGCGCCTGGGCAGGGGGTGAGTCAGTCCAGCCAAGCAGCCAGCAGCTCCGCTGCCCTGGGCAGCACTTCCCCAAAAAGCCCCCGTTACTCTCCTGCAGGCTCTGCTGAGCCACAGGCATGGCTGGGGCCTCCCCCTCCAGGGCCCAGCCCCCGCAGCAGCCCCTGGCCTGGGAAAGGCCCTGCCCTGGCCATCTGCCCCTCTCTCCACAATGGAGCCCCCGTGCTCTCCCTGCACTGCCTGGGAGAGAGCAAGTTTCCCTTCCTTTCCCCAAGGGCTCATGGGAGTTGTAGTCTCCAGGGCTAGCCCGCAGCACCAAGGACCCTCCTGTAAGAGGCAGAGGCTCCTCTAGAAAGGGGACGTTGGACGTAAGACGTCCCTGGCGATGTGGAGAGCGAAATCCTGGCTAACGAGTGAGAAAGGGGCACTCTGCTGACGCCCCTGGGCCATATCCCCCCGTATGGCCTGCAGCCTGTTAACACAATCCGAAGGGCGTAACCCCCCCGTCAGGCAACGGAGCGCACGGGGGCACATTGAGCGGGGCCGGGGAGCATCAGCCTCAGCCGCGAGCTTGGCGGCCTGGCGATGTGGAGAGCGAAATCCTGGCTAACGAGTGAGAAAGGGGCACTCTGCTGACGCCCCTGGGCCATATCCCCCCGTATGGCCTGCAGCCTGTTAACACAATCCGAAGGGCGTAACCCCCCCGTCAGGCAACGGAGCGCACGGGGGCACATTGAGCGGGGCCGGGGAGCATCAGCCTCAGCCGCGAGCTTGGCGGGGAAGCTCTGGGGATGGGTTTCTTGGCAGTGAGACGCTCATGCCGGGCTCCCAGCACCCAGCCCGGCTCCACAGCGGGGGAGGGGCGCCCTGGGGCCGGTCAGTGCTCTCTGCTGCCCGCCGGCGTGGGGAACCCGGGGCAAAGGGCCAGGACGTGGCGGGGGTGGAGCAGACTCCTGGGTCACGCCAGCTCCTGCCCCTGCAGGGAGAAAGAGCATGAGAGTGGCCAGGTCGGGTCAGACCCAAGGTGAACCATCCAGTGACCCCTCCCCTGTCGCCCATTCCAAGCCCCTGACACGGAGACCAGGGACCCCATCCCTGCCCACCCTGGCTAACAGCCATTGATGGATCCAACCTCCTTGAATTTATCCTGATCTTTTTTGAACCCTGTTCTAGACCTGGTCTTCACCACATCCTCTGGCGAGGAGTTCCACAGGTTGACTGTGCGCTGCGCTGCTTCCTTTGGCTTGTTTAAAACCTGCTAGGATCCAGTCCCTGATGCCACCCTAGGCCAGACCCCCTAGATAATCCCCCACATTGCCCTGGGCCCAGCAGCTCCCGTCCAT